ATTATTGAAGCTAAGGCCTCCTTCCAATTTGGGAAATGTTGACAATGTCATCTAACCTCATTACACACCTAGTAGTGAATATCATAGCTATAACCACGTCCTCATCTTTATCCTTGAATATAAACAATAACAATATTAACCTCCATCAAAACAAGATTATATAAGTAATGTTGAAGTACATACATTTATAAGTGGGAGAAGTGATATCTTATAATATTATGCTAGTGGAAGAGTGTCATCAGGGGCAAGTGCATACATAAGTCTTATAAGATCTTGACTCAACTTGATCCAATTTAATATATTCAGCTTTGCATGAAACAAAAGGCTCCAAAAGTGAATATTAAATTGCATAACTGAATATGATCCCTGACAAAGATAATATAATTTCTATATACATTAACACAATTGTTAACATGTCAAAATGAGATATCCAAGATAAGGCTCTAATTTTCACGAGTGGTTACACTCAAACCATTATATAATTGCAACACTATCATTTGAAAACATATGAGAAACTCATTTAGATATTGGGCATCTTCCTAAGAATGAGAGGTGATAATTATTATAAAGTAATTGAATCAATAATACATATTATTCTTAAGATTCATATAGAAGAAACACAGTCAAATGCACATCAAGAGCAAGAAGTGTTACATTGCTATCAATTAAATTTGATTATTACCTACAACTAAATAATATTAAGCAATTACACCAATTATTACTCTAGAGTCAAAGGAGGAAGAGGAAGGTGTTGAGGAGTATAATGCTCTAACATGGAGATGAGATGAAAAAAAACAAAAAGAAGAAAGAAATGGAAAAGCTATAAAAACAAGACAAATTTAGACAATGTAAAAGTTAGATTTAAATTAAGAAAAAATAAAATTTAACACTCATCAGGGATAATTAAAGTTGCCCCTCAACTCCACCAGTACAAGTGAATGGAATACAAAACTATATATATTTAATTAGCCCAAAAATCTTAATTTGATGGTCTAAATTGAAAACTAATGTCCACATTATAACTATACACCTAAACACCAAGTATATTAAGATGTAACCACCAACTAGCATCACTATCCAGCAAACCAACTTCTCCCCCTCCACCAAGCAAGGTTGGCTAAGAATAATAATAATAATAATAACAGCTATTTCAAGTCATGAGGACCCACAAAGGGCATTAAACCATCCTATCCACTGTTGGTGTGGAGTTGGGGACATGCAAGTTCAAAGATGGTATCATCGTACAGGTTTGTGGTGGTAGTGAGGTACTCACAAAGTAGGTGGTGTTGCTGTTGTTGGAGGAAGAGAATAATCATCATCGTAGTCAGAGAAGTAGTCATCATAGCTATCATATTGATATTCAATCCATTTAAATTCTGCAAGGTGAGGGCACTTCTTCATTAGCTGTTCTCTTGTTGTTTTGTTGTGCATATTAAACAGTAGACACTCTCTCAAGTTGTTGAATAAGCCATTATCCCATATCAGCTGGCAGCTCCATAATTCTAGCTTGGCTAGATTAGGAAGAGCACCTAGTGATAAAGTTAGAGCCAAAGAACCATCTTTCGTAAAATCTTCCAAACTCTGACTGGACAGAATAATAGGATGGCTCCCCGTTGTAGGCACTGACTGACTCCCATTGCAATTAGAGAGCTTGAGCTTCCTAAGATTTGGGCAAGCCTTCAATATGCCAATCAATACATCATTCATGTCTTCCTGTGAATGGTAAACCTTGTCAGAGTAAGCAAGAACAAGCGTGTGGAGGCTGCTGAAGATTGTGTTTGCTGGGGGCTCATCTATAGTTAAGGAATCGTGTAACTCCAAGCATGTCAGCCTTGGGAAGTTTGATATGAGGCAAGAGCCTGTATGTAAACTAACTTGAGTCAATGACAACCTCTTCAAGGTGGAAGCATAGGGAACTAGGAGCTTTTGCAGTAGCTCTTCTTTGCATACCTCATACTCAAGGATCAGTTTCACCTCCTCAAGTCCAGATCGACCTGCCAAAGCGTTCATAAGAAACGTTTCATACTTATGGTCCATATACTGCTCTGGTACGTCTATCTTAACCTTGGGCACTTGTTTGGAAAGACGATTCCATGTTTTTGACACAAGTGAAATTCTTGATAAATCTTCTATCCAGTGGAACTTGCTCAGCACCGTAAGCCAGACATCATCTGGAAGAGAGTCCCCGGAACTGAATAACTTCTTCGTCATCCTCCCAACCCTTATCGTTAAGTGCCCCAATCCTATATAGAGAAAGGACATCGCCACCTCATCGCCAGCGTGGTGGTGAGGCATGACACGACATCTGCTGTGCCACGTCACCATGGTCATTTTTATTTCTCCCGCTCTGAGGCTAGGGTTTGTTCGTAGCTAGCATCGCCCCCAGCGCACTGGCTTCTCAGCGCCCTAAGGGTTTGGCGACGCCGTGATGCTGCTGGTGATTCCCGGGCGATCTCACCTTGCCGCCGAGAAGATCCTCGCCATAGGATGGTTCTTCGTGGATGAGGTGATGCGAGCAGCTAGTCAGGATCTCCTAGCAGGAGTTGCAGTTGGACCGATCAGGCGAGTAAACTTCACCATGAAGGATGAGTCTTCAGAGGGTGGACAAGATGCGGCGAGTGTGGGATGCCCAAACACACCGGCATCCAACAGGCGGATCTAGTGGGAAGAACATACCACTGGGTGGCTGGCAACGGATAGCCCACATTCTTGGGGATTGCGAAGTTGAGGCTCTTCAGCAGGGCCGAGCTGAGCTTGGCAGCCTAAGTCGTCCCGATTGTAGCAAGCCGATGCTAACGCAAGGCCAAGGGCGTCGAAGTCTAGGTGGCCAAGGCACAGGAGGTCGGAGTTGGACACCCGGAGAACTCAAGGTGGAGCACAAAAGGTTTGCATTGGGAGTTTACAGCGATGCTGTGCTGTTCCGTGTTGCGCTCAGTGAAAATGCGCAGCTGGCCTATTGCTAACCTCTCCCGACCATGGCTGCTTTGCAGAAGGACTTGCTGGACGAAGGTTACGCAGATTTCGTGGAGAAAATCGAAGATTGAGCAGGTGGCCGAACAAGTCACTCCTCGCCTGCTATCTGCGATATTCGACTCTGAAAGGATACACACATTGGGCTGATGCAACGAAGAATGAAGAATCTTCTATGCTTCCTTTGAAAGCACAGACTCGTAAGGTGTAAGGTATGGACGATGCTCTAGAGAGTTTTGTATCTAACACCGTGTCTCTTCTTCCTAGCTGATAAAATTTTCAAGAAGCTTGGGGCAGAAACAAGATTGCTTAGGGACTGGAACATCCTGGGAGAGCCAAGTCGGTCTTTTTGATACATCAGAGGCAGAAATGCGTCAACTTGAAAGAGTGAAGCGGAAGCGGGGTGTTATTGCCGTGGTGATGGATAATGCTTCCAACATGTGGCTAGCCGGACAGATGCCTGAGACGCGCTGGGGAATGTGGAGTGTTCCCTGTCAGTGCCAGGCACTGAACCTCGTACTCAGATCGTCAGGCACTCTGGACTTCATCAAGGATTGCATTGGAAAAGGGATGGCCATTGTTCATGTAAGCGAAGATCCAACACATCTGTTCAGGCAGCAGGGAGCAAAGGAGGCTGTATCAACGAGGTTTGTATTCAAGGTTCACTTTCTAGTTTCAGCTTTCTAACGAACTTCGTTTTCTTGTTGATGATTTTAACTTCAGGCTTGGCTAGTAATACTACATGCTGGAACGGCTGCGAGAAGTTTGCGACTCTTTGAGAGTAATCTTCCTTAGTGGGAACTTTAAAGCGTGGCTCAAGCAGCAGCCGAAGGGCAGTGATGCTCAGCAAGTTCAGGACCTCTTTCATAAGAACAAGCAGGTTGCGGTTCAGTTTTGGCAGCAGGTGGACAAGATTCTTTTCTTGATGGAGCCAGTGGTACGAGCCATCAAGTTTTTTGACATATGCACACCAACTATGGGATTCGTCTGGCAAGCTTGGAAATACATAGCCGACACAACATTCCAACACCTTTGCCAGCAGGGGAGAAGGAACTTGTGATGGCTGTGCTTGCACATCGGGAGGAGCGTTACCTCAAAGATTGTGATCTGTTTGGTGCGGCCTGGTGTCTGAACCCACGGTACAGATATGTAATAAGACATCGACCAGTGGCCAGCAGTCAAGCGGTTTTATCCAGACAACGAAGACTTCATGCGGTTTGCTCGCGAATGCAAACCGGACCTTTTGATCCTACAAGCTCCGGACTGGCTGCGCGTTTGTTCGAAGATCCAGCAGCAGTAGCCGATCCCTGGAAGGCGTGGGCAAGCTGCCGAGAAATGGATTTGCACGTACCTTTGCTTTGGAGGTTTGCATGCAACGTCTTGGCCTTGCTTCTTCTAATTGTGCTGCAGAGCGTAACATCAAGGCATATGGAAACGTTTTGACTCTCAAACGGAATAAGTGAGTTGATTGAATTGAATTGAATTTTCCTGCTGGATACTAACAAAACGTGCTACGTTGAATCCAGAGCGCATCCAAAAGCTCGTGAATATCTACCAGAACTCTCGTCTGTGGAGGAAACGGCAGCAGTCCATTGACAAATCCGTGGCTAAGCAGACTGGTGCCGAATTTGATGATGAAACAACAGGGCCAGGGGCTTATGCTCAGGTTGACGCTGATGATTCCTTATAGGAGAGCGAAGACGAGCACGACACAGTTGATAAAGGGGCTAGTAAGTTAAAGTTGCATAGTTTTTTCTTAGAACTAAGTAAGGACGGTGTTTTTCAGCGGCGACGATGACAAAGTACAGTTGGGACATTATTAAGGGAATCGGATGGTTCTAGAGATACAAGCAGTTTGGGTTAGTCCCAACCTACTAGATAGTTTGGAATATAAAGACATTTATTTTCGGTGCAACAAGGCATAGGATGATTGATGGAGGAGCTGCTGAAGTAGCAGGAGAATAAAAATCTTTTGAGCTGGAACACCAACAAACCAGAGAAAAGTCGCAGATTTATATGTACGTTCAAGGCCGCTGCAACAGTGTCGAAGACCGAACAAGTGTAAGTTCTTTTCATCTCCTTTTTTGGCTCTGAACTGTTTGGTGCTATCCAAAGCAAAGTATGGAGGCCTGGCTCGAGTTCGACAAACGAGTTCCTTGCGCTGTTTAAAGCCGACCACCATGACATCGTCGACTCTACGCAAGTCTGGTACAGACAATGAGAAAACGCTGCTTCTCGAATATTCCAGTGGTGATAAAAAAGAAGCCCGATTGAGGTCGAGCGCCATGGGGAGCCTTGAGGAGCATCAGCCCGCTTTTCCACCGTCCGACATTGTCTTCCAACATCTCATCGTCCACAAGGCGGCGCAGCTCAAGGTGGGTGGCGCTGTTGGTTTCTCGCGGTCTGGCTGATTCGTTCCATCAATGCAGGAAAAGCCCAACAAGGCCGATGGCACCGTGCTCAAGTTTGGAGCTCACACCACGGATCATATGCTCCAGATCGTGTGGAAGGAGGAGCTGGGCTGGATGCCTCCCAAGATCGTCCCGCTTGAGCCACTCTCGCTCCACCCTTGCGCTCAGGTTTGTGATATTCTTTCTTTCCATGACTTTTCCGGATTGGAATCACACTGCTCGTTGCATGAATCCAGGTTCTACACTACGCCACCGAGTGCTTCGAGGGCATGAAAGCTTACAAAGACAAAGAGGGACGCATTCGCCTCTTCCGCCCCGACATGCATATGAATCGCCTCGCCAGATCAGTCGCTCGCCTCGCGCTTCCCAGCTTCGACAAGGTAACAACTCCATGGATTCTTTCCTTTCGTCATGATACCAAACTTTGTAGGAGGCTTTACTGAGATGCATCGAGGAGCTCCTTCGCGTGGAGCGGGACTGGATTTCCGACGTCGAAGGATTCTCCGTTTACATCCGTCCCACGGTGATCGCTACCCAGCCATCGCTGGGAGTCCAGCAGTCACGGGAGGCATTGCTTTTCGTGGTTTTGTCTCCGGCTGGATCATCCTTCTTCTCCGCCTTGTCGACGTCTCGGCTGGCCCCGATCAAGCTCCGGGTCGACACGCAAAACACGAGAGCGTTCCCGGGAGGAGCTGGGGACCGGAAGCTGGGATCAAACTACGCCCCGACCATCGTCCCGCTGCTCGAGGCAGCAAAGCTGGGATGCTCGCAGCCGCTGTTTGTCATGGACGACAAGTATGGAGGATTCGTGGGAGAAGCTGGAACCATGAACATCTTCTTCCTGCTTCGCTCTGGACAGGACACACTGGAGCTTGTGACACCGGCTTTGGACGGCACCATTCTTCCTGGCGTGACGAGAGACAGCGTGCTGAAGCTCGCGACCAAGATACAAGGACTGGAAGTCTCCGAAAGGTCTCTTCGATTCTCCGAGGTGAAAAGTTGGTCTCCTTGATCTTCGATTGACACTGGCTTTCAGATCGAGGCGGCCGCTGGACAAGGCAGGCTGGTGGAAGCATTTGGAACAGGAACAGCGTGCTTGATCCAGCCAGTGTCCGGGCTTCTCAAGGAAAGCGGAGTGATGATCGAAGTCCCGTTTGATTCCAAGGCCGCAAACGATGCGGTAGCGGCAGCTCCGGGAAGTTTGGAGCTGGAGAAGGAGCACGTCAATCGCCCAGGCTTCAACCTCTGTGGTCTCCTCGTGCGAGCACTGATGGATATCCACTATGGTCACACGCACAGCGAATGGTCTCGCGTGATCATCGGCTAAAGTTCTCACCTCTATCAAAGTTTTGCACGAAAGACTTTCGAAGTTTTAGTATATCCGAGGATATTCTAGGATATTCGTTAATCTAACGGCTCTAAAGAGGTTAAAAATTAGGGTTCTTCCGCGAGGTATGGCTGGCTTGATCGATGTTCTTGTGGATCTCAACAACACGCTCGTCTCCACTGGCGGCGACATCAAGTTCCCATGCCTGGTCGGCTCCTTCTGCTTCGCTCACGGCGCGCTCGAGTTTCTGGCAGCTCTCGACAGGATTCCTGGCGTGAGGATCGGCTTCTACAGCTGTGGAAAGGCGCTGCGCAACGCCAATCTCTTGCAAGCGCTCTCCGCCGGCCTCGAGGATCGTCTGGGCTACAAGATTTCGCAGGAAATCGAGGTATTCAGCGTCAGGCCAGGGAAGAAGAAGCCGCTCCATGGCCTGAGGGAAGGACTGGATCTGGAGAGGGCCATTTTGATCGACGACACTGGCAGGAACTCGGCCATGGGAGAGGAGAGGAACCTGGTGAAGATCTATCACAAGAGGCGGCTGTATGACGAGGAGGGAAAGCTTTGCAAAGGTGGCAACGTTTTCAAGGCCAGGATCGCCAACAATCTCGTCCGCGCGCTCGGTCTCCTCCTCAAGTCGATCGAATCCTCCTCGAGCTCCAAGACGTTGGTGCAAGCGCTGGAGTCGCTTCAGTGGAATGGAGACGAGTATCTCCACGAGTCGAGCAACTCGGAGGAGATTTACCGGCTTGGTCTGGAAGCGATGCGAGGCGTGAGGCCGGAGTTTAGCATCAAAGAGGTGGTGAGCTCGGTTGATCCTTGGTCGCCCCATGAGAGTAACGAGGAGCTCTTCCCAAGCTCGCGCAGCCATCTCCTCTCATAGAGAAGGTACTTAAAGGTTAACCCTTCCTATACTATTTTTTTCTTGTTTTGTCGCTTGGTGACTGATTGAGGCGCAGCTATGGCGACAGCCGCGATTGGAATGCCGGCGATCAAAGCACCCAAGATGGTTTCTTTCGCGGGAGCTGAGCATCACAGGGCTGGATTGTCAACCCAATTGCGATCCACTGCTATGATCTCGAGAAGGGCAAAGGTATGAGACGACGATGTCATACTTTTTCGTTAAACGATGCATAGGATTTTGCTTTTCGATTTGGCTGCTGGATTGCTGGCTGGCTAGTAGAGCGTGAGGAGCAGCTTCATTCTTTGTGGCTCAGTCTTTAAGCATGCTACCAATCTTTTTGACTGCCTGAAGTTATGGTTCATGTGTACATTAAAGATTCTCGCTACTGATCATGGCATTCGCTGCTCAAGCACCGATATCGACGTCTCAGCTCCTCCGAAGGATCAAGGTGAAAAAGCGCCTGTTCGTTTCCTGGAAACCTTCTAAAGTTTTGTTACAACTTTTGCAGATCAAACCCTCACAGAACAACCGGTTGCCTCTTCCTCTGGAGCTGAACTATTCAAAGATCAAAAAGAAGGAGAGAGTTCCGTGTCTGCAGCTACGACGAGCTTGTCAATCATCGTTTTAGGTGCCACGGGTGATCTCGCCAAGAACAAAATCTTTCCAGCCTTGTTTGCACTTTACTACACCGGTTACCTTCCAGAGGTAGTCTTTATCTTCTTTCCCAAGATTTTAAATTTTTTGATGTGCAGAAAATCGCGATCTTTGGCTATTCCAGAAGTGAGCTCCAAGATGAAGACCTCCGGAGGCTCATCATGGGAAACTTAACGTGCAGGCTGGATCACAGGTTCTAATACTCGTTTGGCATATTTGGATCTCAAAGAGAACTTGGCATGCAGAGAAGGATGTGAAGAAAAGATGGAGAGCTTTCTAAAAAATGTATACTATGAGCACGGCGGATACGATACATGCGATGGTATGGTGATTCTGGACAAGCGCTTGAAGAAACTAGAGGTATTATTTCTAGCTTTTGCTTTGGCATAGTAGAGAAAAGAAACTGACAAGTTTTGTAGGGAAGTTGTTGTGCAAATCGGATTTTCTACCTGTCGGTTCCTCACGAAGTAGTCGTTGAAGTTGCGCAGTGTGTTGGCACCAATGCTCAAAGCAGGAGTGGCCACACGAGGATTATAATCGAGAAGCCATTTGGCAACGACGTGCACACCTCGAAGAAGATGACCGAGGGATTGCTTTCAAAGTTCACCGAAGACCAGATATACAGGTACGATACCGATTGTTTCAATCAAAGAGAGTAAACAAAACATGCTTTGTTGCTCTTTTTACAGAATCGATCATCTACTTGGCAGAGATCTCATTGAAAACTTGACAGTCTTGCGGTTTTCAAATCTAATCTTCGAGCCTCTGTGGAACCGCACATACATACGAAACATTCAAGTAAGCCCGAGTGCTATTTCCAAGACTCGACTGCGTGTGCCTTTCATTTAGATATTGTTTGCCGAGGACTGGGGAGTGGAAGGCAGAGGAAGGTAACCAGTTTTCTTTTGTCAAGCTTTAATTTGAGCTTTATTTTGCCGGTTCCAGGTATTTTGACGAGCAGGGAATAATACGTGACATTGTCCAGAGCCATTTGTTCCAGACGATTGGTCTCCTTGCAATGGAGCCCCCAGTAAGCCTGGAAGGAGAAGATATTCGCAACGAAAAGGCAAGCAGGTCTTTCATGAATTGAATGGATCATGAATCGAGTTGATTGATCAGGTGAAAGTGCTGCGATCAATGCGCAAGCCAGCTCTGGACGACGTTGTTCTTGGTCAGTACAAGGAAAGCGTGTCAAAGGGTGGCAGCTCCAGAGTTCCGGGATACTTGAGCGAGCAAGACGTTCCAGCCGACAGCCTCACTCCCACATTTATAGCGTCAGTTTTGTACATCGACAACGGGCGCTGGGATGGTGTTCCGTTCCTCATCAAAGCCGGTCACGGCCTCATCAAGCACAAGTGAGCTGAGAGTTTTACTCCACACTCCACTTGTTTTTCTGACTATACTTCCACAGGCAAGAGATTCGTATTCAATTCCGAGGCGTCCCTGGGAACTTGTACCGCGATAAGTTTGGTTTCAACATCGACCTGGCCACCAACGAGCTGGTGCTCAGAGTTCATCCGGACGAGGCCATCAATCTCAAGATCAACAACAAAGTTCCAGGCCTGGGATTGCAGCTGGACTCCTCGGAGCTCAATCTTCTCTACAGGGACAAGTAAGCTCACTCGTTTCTTCAAATGTTAACTAGAACGGAGGAAGCTAAGTTTTTGCTCATAACACCAGATACAACACGGAGATCCCAGACTCGTACGAGCGATTGATCTTGGACGTGATTGACGGCGACAGCCACTTGTTCATACGGAGCGACGAGCTCGCACAGACCTGGGAGATCATCTCGCCGCTGCTGGAAGAGATCGAAACACACAAAGTGGCCCCCGAGCTCTACACGTTTGGCGGAAGAGGCCCAGTCGGTGCTTACTACTTGGGCGCTAAGCACGGGGTTAAATGGGCGGACGATTAAGCTAAACTGTGGGACGGAATGTTCCACTGTAAAGGAGCATATTCCGGCAAATAAAAACTTGGGATCACATTTGTACTGGAAGTTGTTTTTGGTCGTCCGTGATCGAGAGGAGAGAGACGAAGGATGCACGACTTTTGCTTCACGTACCCGTATGGGATCGTGCTCTTGTGTGGCGGACTTGTGGGTTTTCTCCGGCGGGGGAGCTTGGCATCGCTCTATGGCGGCGTTGGAGCTGGGATCTTGCTCCTTGTCGCCGGTAAGATCAGCCTCTCGGCTTACCACAAGGGTAGCAATTCGCTGCTCTCGCAAATCCTCCAGACAGGTGACAGATCGATAGCTCGTTTGGTTTCACTCACGATTTGGATTTGCAGTGATCGCGTTGTCTGTGTCGTGGGTGATGGGGGAGAGATTTCTCGACACTGGTAAAGTGATGCCTGCTGGAATGGTCGCCGCGATCAGGTAAAAATCAAATTTTTAGAGGTGGAGCTCACGAGAGAAGTTTTTGTTTTCGCAGTGTTATCATGAGCTTGTTCTACGCGTACAAGCTTGCTAGTGGAGGCAACCACATCCCAAAGAAGCAAAACACAAGCTGAGAGAATTCATGGAATGGAATAGAATGGCCTCAGAATTATTTTCAATATCACAGCACATTGTTATTTACCAAGTCAGTGAAAAAAATATATGATTTTTTTAGCAGCTTACGCCCAGCTCCAGCTTCAGCGTGTAGTTAGTCTCTTCCGCGGTTGGACCAGAGAATTGGATCGGACCTGTTCGTCGATGTTTAGCTTGATTCCTGGCAGCGATTCAAAGAAAGTTACCTGGACTACGATAATCATCTTCCACAGCCCATTTATCTCGCACGGAGGCAAATTTCTTGAAAGGCGCACCTGCGAGGAGTAGCAGCAACGATTGTCAATGCAACAAGTCAAATGTTTGTACTCACCATCAAGTTCCACCATGGCTTTCTTTATCACAGGCTTGTTCTTGCCTGCACGAGGGAAACATGTGTGAGACGCAGCGGACTTGAAGTATCAGTTTTACCTCTCCGTCTCTCAACATCCATCAATGATGTCAATGCCGTCCCTCCCACAGTCCAGTCTTTTGAAGAGGCTGACAAATTTCCCACCTGGAAACTAGAGCATTAGTCACACACTATAGCTGGATGGTACTTCACTACAGACCGAGGCAATCAATCCTGTCTGTCCAGCATGAAGGAGCGCTCCTGCGGCATAGCCCAACGCATAGCAGTAAGTTGAATCAAAATTTGTCGGTAGACCACACCGGCCTTCATATCTATACAGCCTGTTAGCATGGTAGCAACAACTGTGCTGGGAAAAAACATTACCCGAGGAAGTGAGACTGCCCCTTGAAGCTTCCAGTGTATGATCCTTCTTGTTTTCTCCGCAATAACTCAGTTTCCACCATGGAAATCAACATTTTCTCGGTTTCGATTTTGGCAACCTGGAATAAATCTTTTGCTAAGAATCACAAGCGAAACGATGGTAAAAATTTTAATATACAAACCTGAACGTTCCCATGGGGATCACGCTCCAAGAGCAGTTCCTCTTGGATGCTATGTGGCAATGAGTCGAACAGAGCATGACACTGGGGGGACAATTTGTGCCTCCAATGTCCCTCTTCATCCACTGTACCGCTGGCCAAAATCTCGTTCAACTCCGAGATCAAGTGCTGAATCTGTTGCACGAGTCTCAGTCAGCACGACAACAAAGAAATAAAATATACCTCTGGAATAAAATCAATCAGCCCCTCAGGGATAAGTATCACGCCATAGTGCTGACCATTCTCAGCCCTCTTACATATTGTATCAGTGATAGAGTTCGTCACTTGCCGCAAAGTCTGCTTCTTCACGGATACCTGAAAAAGGCAAAGGATAAGACATCCGTATGTGTTGAAAGTAGACGCACCTCTTCACCGATAAGAGCGACATTTGGGTGCGTCTGCAGAGCACACTCTAAAGTTATGTGTGAGGCTGCACGTCCCATAAGGCGGACAACTGCTCGAGAGAAAGTCCTCGTCACGGACTTTAAAACAAGCTAAAGGCAACAAACTTCTTACAGTGGTAGTATTTTCCCGTAGAACGTGCGTCGACCATGATGTTCCCAATCATTTCTGCATATATCTACCGCGGAGGCTGAGAGGAGCAGCAGAAAGATTGAGGGATACCTTGCAGGCTGTGTCGAATCCGAAACTAATCGGCACTTCCTTGCTCTTAAGATCACCATCAATAGTCTTTGGGCATCCGATAACATGAGTTTTCAGGTTCCTTGCTCTGGATGACAGAAAGCGATCGAACGTCAAAAACACTTTTTTTTTCTAGATAAAAGAGAATACTATAACCTGAAATACTCCGCAAGAAGGCAGGCATTCGTGTTGGAGTCGTCCCCACCAATAACTACAATGCCGTCCAAGTCGAGCTTCACAGCCGTGTCTTCCGCTTGCTTGAACTGCAAAGGCAAAAACACATTGATTGAGCTGAGAGCCATTACTGCTATTGGAAAAACACAAGAAACCTGCTCAGGTGTCTCAATCTTGTCTCGACCGCTGCAGATGATATCGAAGCCTCCCTGACACCTCGACCACGGATGTAAGAGCCCAGAAAGAAAAGACTTCCCATCCAAACCATACCTGGTTCCGATACGGATACAAAAACTCCGAGGTAATCTCGACGTACTTGCACCTCATGATCCCAGCAGGTCCTCCACGAAAGCCAAGCAACAAGCTTCCCGGTGCATGCTTTTGCAGGTAATCTACACAAGGAAAAAAAAAAGACTTGTCATGGAACTAACTTGTCACAGCTCCAAGTTCTTACCGAAAAGTCCAGCAATCACATTATGGCCACCAGGAGCCTGACCACCAGAAAGAACGACCCCAATTCTCAATTTCACCTCCTCCTTGAAGGCCGCGGCAGCACAAGGGACAATGTGCACTGATGGCTGCCCAAAAAGCTTTGGAAACAGCTGAGCGATGGCGCCTAAGACGAAGAGAAATTCTCAGCAAAAAGCTACCAGATCTAGCTCACATACCAGCGTCTCCAGCAGCGGAGGTGGACGAGCCATGCTCGACCTTGAAATGCCCCTCGAGCACCGATGGCATTGGCGGCTTGTAGTCGAGCCTGGAGCTCTGGACGGGGCTGTAGACCGAGACCTCGCGACTGCAGGATCGCTTGGCTCCTCCATTCATCAATGCGATCGTCATCGCTGCGCTGTGCCGCTCCTCTCTCAATAGCGGAGCCCTACCCCCTCTCAGGCGAAAAAATATTTGTAAGATGCCAGAAGGATATACCGGTAAATATCTCATCGGATAAGAACATTCCCAGGACAATCCGTTTGCATGTTGACGGGTAGTTTAGTCCACGGTGCCCTAATCAAGTTAATATTTAGTTACTTTTTTTACAAAACAGTAATAGGATAAGTCAATGGTCAGCCCTCGACCCTCCACATGGCATTGTTGGATTGGGCCTCGCGCGCGGTCGCTTTGACCCGCGCCGTGTATTGTTGCTGTTCTTGCGGATGGCTGCTGTTCTTGGTGTCTCCGAGGCTGTCGCGCTCCACTGCCACTGCCGAGGACAAATTAGTCTCGGCGGCGGCGGCGGCAGTGGCGGCAGTGATCCCATTCCTCAATCCTTTCCGCCCGCTGTGATTGACCAGCCCAGCGGCGCCGCCAGCGCTGTTCTTCTTCCGGATGTCCGCCGGAGGGATGAAGCAATCCTCCGAGAGCCCCGGAACGTTGAGCGCCACCTCCTCGATCGTCCAGTCCTCCTCCATCCTCGTCCTGGTGTGACCCATGGCCACCTCCCCGAATCTAAACAGCGTCACGCACGAATGCCCCGAGTGGGCGATCACCAGGCCGTCGACGCTGCGGTAGTCGTCCAGCGTCGACTCGATGCTCGTCTCCCAGTAGACGACCTCGCCCGCCGACGCCTGGATGCGGGTTAGGTGCGAGTCCTCGATCCGGACGAGCAGTCCGGTCCTCTGGCTGAAGTAGCCGAAGAGTACGTGGCGGATGATCTCGGCGGGGCCGTCGCTGCGGGCGCCCAGCGTGTACGGGTCGGCGGCGAGCTTGAGCACGAAGCAATCCTCGCCACCCAGCCGCTTCTCGCCCACGCAAACCGCGCCAGAAAAGATGGTGGCAGTCGTCAACGGATCCAATCCCTGTTGCAAAGACAAAAGCGCCATGAGATCTTGACATTCCGATTCCAATCTTTTGGATTCGTGATCGAGCAATCGCGGAAGAGAGAATGCGAGCGAGCGATGGTACCATCCATACCTGGAGGACGCGACGAAGTGGGCGCACGGGTCCCTTGGCGGCGTGAGGACCCATCCAGGGGTTTTGCCTCCAGACGAGCTTGCCATCGCATCCGGCATGGACTTTGCTGGATCCTCCGCCCAGCACCAGCTCCACGTACCACATGTCGGGCTTCATCTGCCACAGCACGAAGCATCCCGCCTCGGCGGGGCGGAATGGGTTCTTGGTGCGCACCACGCGATTCACGGTCTCGAATTCCGACAGAGACATCCGGATCTTGCCCGCCGCGTACGAGTTGTGGATCGAGGCCAGGAATTTGGAGCCCCCGGATGCTGCCATGTACTGGTGGAGGATGTACTGCGCGGACGTCGACTCCTGCCAGATCGAAGAAGCCACGCACATCAGTGTCGATCCAAGGAAGAAAACACCCAAGAACACTCGGCCAAGAACACCACGCACTTACAATGGGGCCATCCCTGGGCGAGACGCGAGCGTAGAGGCAATGGGCGCTGCTAGCGGCGATGGGTGCGAGTGGAGCTCCCAGCACGCCCAGCAGCAGCCGCACGTCCGAGTGCTTGTAGCCCAGCAGTGGCAGCGTTGTCTTCTCGATCTGCTCCATCATCCAGCTCCGGAAGGATCCCTGCCGCTTGGTGGCGCCGCCGCCGCCGCCGCTGCCACCGCCGCCAAGGGATCCGTTGCCGCCGCCTCCATCGGCATCGGCATCCGGGCCCTCGCGGACCGGCGCCAGCGTCTCGTGAGGTCTGATCAAGCTGCCGCTGCGAACCATGTGGATTTGCTGCGACGACAGCGCCGCTGCCTGCTGGAGGATGAAATCCGGCGATCCCGAGCGCTGCTGTTGCTGCTGCTGCTTCCTGGACGAGCTCCCCGGGCGGAGGAGGAACAAATCCTTGAGCTTGCTCTCCAGTCGCCGCAGCCCTCTGCCCGGGGAGATTCCGCGCTGCCACGACCTGTGCTTGTGGCTGGATTGCTGCTGCTCGGCCATGGAGCTTGCTCGAGGATGTGTTGACGATCCAAGGCCCGATCTTGGGCTAGTGTCAAATCACCATCTTGGGCGATAGGATTCGTTCGTTTGTGGCAGGGAGGGCAGGGAGGAGAGGATAAGAGGGAGCGATCGATGGATTGGGTGAGAGAGAGGATGATAGATCTCTTGGACAACGCGCGCACACGCAGGCAGCAGTAGCAGAGAATGCGAGCGAGTGAGAATGGCTACTCTCTCCTGGGACGTGACAACAAGGTGTGACAGGGATGATCAGAGAAAGAGAGTCCTGGACTCGTGTCCTCGCGGCGCTATGGATGGATGGATAGATGGATGATGGAAAACTGGATCGATCCAAAAGCTCAGTGATCTTGGCGATGAGAGGAGAGGCGTGGAGTGGTAGCTATCGATCCAGCAAGAAAGAAACTTTGGTGTTTTTGGCAGCCCGGAGCAGACACGCGGAGAGCTGAGATGGATCGCGGCCCGCCCCGGCCAGTCAAAAGCGCGCTCGCGCTGCACAGAGGAGAGAGTGGAGTGTACCAATCACGCACACAAATGTGGTTTGTTTGGGAGCTGCCGGATGATGGAGGAGTGATTGATGAGAGTGAGAGAGACACCACCACAGCTTGGACGATCACCAGCACCAGCGAAACGAACGAGATACGGCCGAGGAAGAAATGGAGATATGGAGAGGAGGAGAGCTCTTCCTAGTGACCGGTATTACGATTTAGTGACAGTCTCATCGTCCGCCCGAGCAATGCGAAATTGAGAGAGTCCGAGACAAGTACCCTGCTGCTGCTCGCGGAGAAAGCAAGAATAGCGAGCATTTATACCTCTGGATGATCCGCAGAGAGAAGAAGCAGTGGTGGCAGGGAAGAAAGAAAAAGAGCTCCAGGGCTCTCTGCTGCTAGGTTTTGCTGCTGCTGCTGCTGCCTGCGGCTGCTAGGATCGAGATGGAGGAGAGAAGGCGGAGCAAACCAGAAAGCGATGGATGAACAGCAAGAGCGTAAGGATCATCAACCTGGATGCAAGCATTTAGTGTTCGCAGTCAAGCCTTGGATTGGGACCTGCCATAAACTCCTCGGATGCTGACCATCATGCGACAAACCAAGAACTCTGGGACCTCGGCTCGCTCGCTCGCTCACAAGAATCCAAAGCTTTTCTCCTCTGAGTAGTAGAAGAACCAGCTCGATCGATCTCTCGGTGCGCTCTCTCTTTTTAGCGCTTCGGGGAAGTCGATCCGCTGGATCAAACGACAACAATGCGGTGACAAAACCCTCGGCTCTGTTTTAAATTCTTCGTCGCGAATCGCGAGGAGAAAAGAGTACTTGTTGGAGAAGAGAGAGAAGGCGATCCGCCATAGCCAGAGAAAGAAGGAAGAAGGAAGAAGAAGGTTTACGCTTGCTTGCGTTCACACTGGCAGGGTGAAAAAGAAAGAGCTCTACGGTAAGAAAAGTACGAGGAGCGTTAACAAGGGGAAATTAAAAACCTTTGGTAAAAAAGCCGGCGGTAAGAAAGCGGCCACGTGCGTTGTGTACTGGCTGTCACATGCGCGACACGTGGCGGACAAACTCTCCTGGGCGAGTGTTGAGCCACCATGGCCACAAACCGGCATTAACGGCTCGCCCTCCGTACGCACGCGATCATCGTCTCTTCTCTTCCACTCGACGAAACAAAAAGGAACAAAGGAAGTGGGGTGGTTTGGAGATCGCAATCCATGGCATTCTCCCCCAGAGATCCAAGTTGGTGACAAACGAACGAGGGATCTCGTGATCTCGTGTAATTCCACTCGCGGTAGCGATGCGCGAACTACAAGGATCAATCGAGCATTCTTCCAATTCGATCAATGCGAGGACGATGATCGATCCAACTCCAAGGTAGCTTCAAGGAAACGAGATGGAGTGTGAGTGAGTGCGCCAGGTGTGTAGGAACCATGACACCAGAAAGAAATCAAACATCTCTTTCCAGACAACATTATTTTGCCCGATCGCGTGTTCGATTCCTTCCAGGGCCAGCTCGATGGACGGCCAGGGTTCGTTGCCCATCCCTGTCACACCCCCGGGGCGTACGGATGCCTCTCAAATCTTTGACCGTGAAACTTGTTTGTTGGTGACAACGAAGAACCCTAATCAAAACTTAGATTGATGTGGAAAGCGCCATTGAATTGAGCGAAATTGTCAATTGCTACTGCTATTGGTCCGCTCCAATCCAATTTCCAATCGCTTGCGAGCTGATCTAGCCCATATAGGTAATGCCGCTGGCAATGGCAGCAATGCAATCCACTCCACACAGTGGTAGCGGCAGCAGCTTGATGGTTGTGATGGTGACAAATTGGAAAACAGTTAAGCAGAGATTGGCAGCGGCAGAGGAAGCTTTTATATATGTGTGGATGATGGCTCTGAAAGCTCTGTTCCATTCAATTGGACTCCAGAGAGCTGGCTGCTGCGCGATAAACAATTCGTATTCGCTCTCTCATCATCGCATCCATCGTCATCGACTGCGGCAGCGCCAAATTCATGCGCTGCTTCGTTCATCAATGCGCAATGGAGTGGTTCCCCTGTTTTAGGGTTCTTGGCGGCATTTGGCGCGCTTTAGGGTTCTTCGTCCTTGAGCGATGACGATGGCGATTGCGATTGCGATTTCCTGGCAGCCGCCGCCTTGCAGGATCAAGTGCCCGTGGGTAGGCGCCGGCTTTCGGAGGCACTCGGTCGGGGGATTCGTTCGGCAGCAGCGAGAGCTTAGGGCAGGGAAATCTGTGCTGAGGTAAGAAGGATTGGATTGGCTTTGCTGCATTTGCAATCCTCCTCGTGGTGTGGTGACGAGCAGAGATCATTTTCCTCATAAACTGGGTCGGTGGAAGCTCCATCATTCGTCTTCTTCTTCACCGGATTACCTTGTGGAGAGGCCGAGTGAGGTTCTCATGGGTTTCTGGTGTGGGCCGGAGCGTGAAGATGGATCGGGCGTCGTCCTCGGCCAATTCGCCCCAGTAAGATGATCGACGCCAGGGCGATCTCTCTCTCTCTCTCTTGTCTGGCAACAAACATTGAGTACTTCAACATGGAAGAACCATTGTCTTCTTTTTCTTTTTCTTTGGCTACTCATGAACTGGCTCGTTTGTTTGGCAGATGCTATGCTACGCTGAAGACGAAAAAAAAAAGTATGGAGTGACAAAAAATGTGCGTGGAGATGAGGGGCATCGATCCCCTTACCTATCGCATGCGAAGCGATCGCTCTACCATCTGAGCTACATCCCCTTGCTCGCCTTCCAAGCTTCGAGGAGCTCTCTCAACACACTCGAAATGGTGGTGGTGCTCAGATCAGGATATGGTGGTTGCCAAGAGAAGATAGTGGCTGGGGTCATTGGACCTGAGCTTGGCAGCTCGGCCCCCGCGCTCCAAATCACTGTGGATCCTGCACGAGTTGAGGAAGGAGGCCCACACCACCTCGTCCGGGACGAAAGGCATGGCTTTTAAAAGCTCTTCCGCGTCGCCCATCCGGCCAGCCCGGCCCAGAATGTCCACCACGCAGCTCCCTCGCAGGAGCCAGGCTGTGGTCTTGGACTGGAATTGGAGCCGAGCTTCCGCCAGGAGCCCGAGGTGGCTACACGAGTTTAAGATGTTCACGAACGCCACCTCTTCGGGACGGAAGAGCTCCAGAACTTCTTCTCCCAGGCCCCGCGCGGTGTAGGCCTCGAGCATCACGTCCCCAGGTTATGGTGTTGTTGCTGCCGGGAGTTTGCTCGAAGATCTCGAGAGCTTCTTCCGTGAATCCACTGGATGCGTAGATGGTCACCGTGGCGTTCCAGGAAACCGTGTGTCTCATTGGCATGGTGTGGAAAACTTTGAGAGCTGCGGCGAGATCGCCATTGTTCGGTGTTCCACGAAACTACATCACGCCGGGGGATGGTTTTGGCCTCGAGCATGTAATGGCCGTGCTGGGCATATTGGTGGACCATGGTGTTCCAGGCAACCATGCCCTGGTGAGCGTAAGCCACCACCATGGTTGTCCACGAAACCACGCTTGATCCACCAATCCCATTATCGTCAAACACTTGCTTAGCCTCCACCATCTCTCCCATTTTCGACTCGAACTCCATCACCACCGTGACACTCGACATTGTTTTGAGGGGCATCTTCTCAAACGTCATCCTCAATTCGGTGCCATGCCCGGCCGCTCGATAGCCTTGGAGCAACGCGTTCCACGATACATGGTTTCTCTCTGCCATAGCATCAAAGGTTTCTTTCGCCTATACCTGCTCTTTGCGTATCTAGGAACCATGAGAGTCCAAGATATGACATCCTTCTCGGGCATTCCAAGGAAACAATTCTCCGCATCACAAACTTCGGGGCCTTGAATGATTGTGTTCCATACAATGAGATCATTTTCTCTACGAGCAGCTTAGTGGCATCGATACGTCCGTTCTGGGCATTTGCGTTCACCATTGCGTTCCATGACACCTCGTTGCGCTCCGGCATTGCATCAAACCCCAACTTTGCCTCTCCTATCTCGCCATTCTGTGCATAAACAGTAATAAGCATTGTCCAAGTCACAAAGTCCGTCTGAGGAGTCTTCTCCACACCATCTTTGCCTCCTCAAGGTACCCATTCGCAGCATCATCTTGACACATTGCATTCCACACAACCACGTTCCTCTCGGGCATGTCCGAAAAAACCTTCCTCACGTCTCCCATAACCCTTCAGCGCATAAGCCATCCACGCAACAGTATCTCTCTGTGCATGTGATCGGAATCTTGATAGCCAATCTCAGCATATGCTTGGATCATGTTGTTTCAAGAGAAGATCATAGTGCTCAAAACACCTCCAGGGTACAGACAAGCCTGCCACATCTTTCATACACCTGCTTGAAAAGCTTCTTGGAGCTGGAGCTCCTGAAATTGCTCCATGAATATGCTAATTTAAAAAGCTCTAGACACTCTTAAACTAAAGAAAACCTTTGTTAAGAACTTTTCAGTATAACAAAAAATATTATTAAAATTTATCCTATGAGATTATGTAATGCTGTAAAATTGAATTCAATTAAATATCACTTTGTCAGAGTAGAGTGTGCCTTCAATGTTGTTTAGCCTTTGTGAGTCATTAGGGAATATATATATATATATATATATATATATATATATATATATATATATATATATATATATATATGTTTCATCAAATTAAATTTATATCTATTATCCTTATTATACATTCGAAACCCTTCACTCCATCCTTTTGTTGAATTAAACTTTCCTTTGTGATTCCACTGGATGAGGCCACATACACCAGCTTCTCCTCGACTTCCATGCACTGAGTTGAAGCTCTACATGGGGCCATTGCCGGTACCAGTTCCCTCAATTACCATTCCACCACTAGTACAGGATCAGATGCTTGAGCAGGTGACAAATTCCATTTCATGAAAGCAATTCTACTAAAGTTTGTGCGATACAGGCAACTCGCTTATGAGTTTTGATAACTTCACAGCAAATTACAGCATGATCGCAATTAAGGATATCTATTTAGGTCATGGATGTGGCACCTGCGTGCTTTGAGCCTCAAATAGCCGCGCTCATGTAGCCATAGAAGTTTGTTAATCTAACTTCCGTTTTGACAAAATGTGTGGTTTAGGGTTTAAGCCGTAAGCTTTTTTCCCTGGCGATGGAGGAATGGTGGGCGCGGGCGCTCCTTGGAGGGCGTGAGTCTTACGCGGCCGGGAATTTTCTGGAGCTACCGGAAGCAGGAGTTTACAGGTATTCTTTGCACAGGAGTATTGAGACGCTCTATGTGCGGAAGGTGTTCGATGCCCTCTACAAGGATATCGTCGCAACTCTGGCGATCGAGGACTGCTCTCTGTGCCACTTGAATGGCAACTCCGGTGTTGGCAAATCGGCCTTCTTGTGGTACTTCATCATCAGGACGGGCATCGACAAGCGGGGCTCGCGCATCCTGTACGAATCGGAGACCTACATTTGGGACTTCAATGGCTCCTCTCTCAGGGTCATCGACAAGAAAGACTACCCTCTTGAACAAATCGAGTCGACCGAGGTCGACTACCACCTGATCGATCAGAAGATCGCACCTGGCAGGACGCTTGGAGTTCGAGCTGTGGTTGCGGCCTCTCCAGAAGAGGGCAACACAAAGGCCGCGAGGAAGCTGCGCATGACTTACACTAGATACCTCCCGGTTTGGGACAAGCAAGAGTTCGACGCTCTTGTGCAAAGCTGGAAAAGGAGAGCCGATTTGATGCCTCGGCCGGATGGGAACCTGTCGGTGAAAGCGGAGCACATATACCGAAGAGTAGATGCTGCCGACTTAGCATACGACTGGTTTGGAGGCGTTCCTCGGTTTCTGTGGGATCGCGAGGCTGAAAACCTCACCGAGGAGGATTTTTCTTCCGACGTTTGCAAGTGCCTTGCCAACACGAAGCTCAAGAATGTGACAGCCATCCTGCAAAACTCCGCAACCACGCAGAACGTGTCGTGGAGGCTATTTCACTTCGCGTTGAAGCCCGGATCCTTCAGACGCTTCTACTACACATTCTGCTCGGATAAGGTGGCCAACATGTATGCGCAGTACCTGTGTACTAGGAACGTGGATAAGATCAGAAGCTTTCTCGAGGCCACTCAGCCGTTCAAGGAATACGCAAGCTTGCGGGGTTTCGTCTTCGAGCAGTATGCAATTGGTCAGGCTTTGCAGCACAACCTTATGGCCTTGCCGATGGTAAAGCTTTTCAAGTCTCAGGCTTGTCACTTAGTTGTGCTTGCAGATTGATTCCGCCTACTGTGGAGCTTGCCACCAGAAGAACGAGCGCGGGAAAGCTCAGAGGATCCAATGCGGGGTTTGTCTAAGCTGGTATCATACCAAGTGCGTACGGGTGGACGTTATATATACCCCAAAGTTTCGCTGTGGACGCTGCCACGGTGCTCCCGGGGTAGAATCTGTATCCCCTGGCGGTCTCTTACTGCGTTACTATGAAGGAGATCTCGAAGATGCGTTACTTGCGGCTGGTGAGCTCTTCGTTCTCGGAATAGTTATTTGTTGTGTTTTCAGGTATGGATGCTGCCAAGTACCTGTGGAGACCACTGAAAAAGAACAATGCAGTCTTTGGCTTCGTTCTGTTGCCACGCACTTTGGGCCAGGCCACGGTTTCTCGTGATCACAAACCGGCAGTCAAGCATCTGGTACAGGCAATGCAGGCCCTGAGACGTTGGAGGCAGGAATACGACCCCGGCTATACTGAGAAGGACGACACCATCCTCTTGTTTTTCGTGCCGCCGGACACTTTCTCGGGCTTCCAGTTTCAGCCATACCGAGTGTCTGGAAAGGTTTCTCAGAAAGCCGTGGAAGGTGAGCTTTGTGCTGCTAGAGTCTGAAAGAATCTAGTTTTTTCTTTCGTTTTGTAGGTGTTCTGCAGTGCAAGGTGGCCGTTCCAGTGCAAGGTAGTCCTTATGTTACGCAGCTCAACCCTAGGAAGTTGGCGGGTGTTGTTCCTGTGGATTTGGACCGGCCGGAAACTTGGGAGGATGCCTTGGGCTGTGTCGGGCCAGCTCAAGGTGAGGACGATGGTCCGGAAGTACATCTTACGGAAGAGAAGATTCAGTTGGGTAAGCGCAAGCTGGTGTATGAGGGTAAGTTCCTTGATGCGTTACAAGAGCTCGACGAGATTTGCATGCTCGAGGATACAAAGGGCTACCGAAGTCGACTCGTGGCCCTGTGCAAGATCTACAAGCTTCCTGCTAATTCTACCAACCTGCAGATGCTTACTGATCTCAAAGCCAAGCGTCAAGATCTTGAAGACATGGATATGGACTAGAAAGTTCGTGGCATTAACGAGTTGTGGAGCCATAAAAATAAAAGAGAGCTCATTTGCGAGCTAGGTGACGATCAAATTCTCGTTAGTACTACGATCATGACCCTGGTAGATGTTTGCTCCCTGTGCCGCAAAGCACTTGTTACAGCCAGGAAGACTCGTGGCTGATTGCCGTCGGTGGACGTGATTAGAGTTCTTCCGGGCGAGAGTGTTTTGAAATCTTCGAGAGACTAGTGTGACTGCGAAAGCCAGGAACTGCGAAATTGAGCAGCAAGGA